ACTATTCTGATTACAAATTTATATATTAATCTAATTACAAAAGAATCTATATTATTCTGATCACAAAATTTATACGTTAATTTAATTATTAAAAAAATAGGTGCTATTCTGATTACAAAATTTATATATTAATCTAATTATAACAAAATAATGTTATTTATACGAGGATATAGGAAGGGGGGAAAGGGAGAGACTATACGAAAGAATATAGAGAGGGAGGAAGAAGAAGAACTATACAAGAGGATATAAGGCTATTATTTATATCAAAATAACGAATCAATTTTGAGACCAGAATAGCATCCTTTTCTTTTTTTGCAATCAGATTAATATATGAATTTTGTAACCAGAATAGCATCTTTTTATTTTTGCAATCAGAATAATATATAAATTATTTGAGACCAGAATAGCATCATTTTATTTTTTTGAAACCAGATTAACACATTATTTAAAAACGACTGAAATAACACAATGTGTTAATTCAGGCCTAATCAGAAAGTTTATATGCTATTTCGGGTATCAAAGTTGAAAATGATGCTATTCCAGGTATTTACCGTTGAAAGTATAAAGAAAGTATGTCCCGGATTTCAACATTTCTAAGTGTCTAGAATCATCTTCAAGCTACGCCATGAATCATTGCCATTAACTATTAACTTTCGTGAAAACGTTCGTTACCCTCTGCCACAGACGGTCAACTATACATGGAATCGTAAAATTGTCGCCTAACTCTATCCGAAATGAACCGCTCCTCGTCCGTAAATCTACCCATTACCCCTTCTCCCTATCCCTTTCCTAATCATCAAACTGTCTCCATCTGCCCATATCTTCGAAATACAAACTTTTGTAGATCATAGCTCCTGTCTTTTCCAGTTTCATCAAAATCTATCTCACATTAACCCCGGACAGATTCTTAAACACTGCAACAACTCGGAGACGACAACTCTTCCATATACTTGATCATGATCATCAACACCCACACTGAGAATAACCTCATCATCCAGAAACCCCGTACCCTTGTTTCTTATATCCCCGTCTTCCTTACTCCAAGCATACGCAATGGTAGTGGTATAAGTGAGCTTGGCCCAAAAACGACGACCTTCCAATAACGCTTCTGCATTATCATCCCAGCTTTCTTCGGCGGTCCAGCCAGTTGTTGTTTCATTTGCGAAGAGAATTGGATGTTGACTTATAGCTAACATACTGAAAGGAGGTGTCGCTGCCCACATGATAAAATATCTTTCGTAGCGTATGGGCAAGTCTAGATGGTTTTTGTGTTTGCGGTGAATAGCTGCAATGAAGACCGTGTCTGGCGTTTCGGAAATACAGGTGGTATCGGATCGAGTGCAAAGAATTAGTTTCAGGGCAGGTGTTGCCTGGTGCCAAGTAGCATTCGCCATGTATCTATTTAGACTTATTTCCTCCGGCGTTGCATCGACGAGGCAGGAAATCTCGTTCGGGTCCGTCAAATTAGCTGTTGTGAAGCCACTCCCAATAAGTTTGGCAAAGGTGCGTTTTGAAGAAGTTAGTTCATAGTGGACATAAGATGAAGATGGAGTTGGCGAGAATATAAACCAGTTCTTCTCGTATGATCTTCGAGTCTCTGGTGGATTTCGTGTCAGTTCTGTTAAGACTGGATAAGACTTCAGTGGTCCCCCAAATCTTTTCGGTGAAGACGAAAAGACTTCACCCAATCCCGAGTACACGGAACGAAGATCAATAGACCATAATCCAATGCAAGCATATCTCGACCTAGCAATATTTTAGTGACTAAAATCTGGAGCAGTGAACAACGAAGCATACTGAGAAGATAACATTAATATAGGCTCTCCTCTTCCGGAATAGAAGATCCTAGGATCATGAAAGCCAGCAATATCGGCGAGTCCTTCCTGATCTCCCTGGCAACTCTCTGCAGGAGTTGGAGGTACATTAACTTCAATGGGGGTATTTTCGCATCTGAGCCCTCCATTACTGCCAAGAACATCTAGGTCTTCGTCTGTACACATCCTCTCTCGAACACCTCCAGAATTTTCGGTCCTCGGATGGCAAATATTTGCTTCACACACAACATTTGCTCGGTAGCCGCGGTCCTTCAAGTACACCATGCTCACGATTAAGTATTGGTTCTTTGCCCAGTATGGTAGGGCAAAGATTGTTGGATTCCAGAATGTTCTTGACTCGGGAGATCTAAACCTAGGTTTCATGGAAATGTTGTAAAGTAAGTTAGGAAGCCTAAGGTGATTTGTAAATTTGTTGATTGGGTCGAAACAATATGCCGTAAGTTTTAACACAGCAGGCGGAACAGTATTTTTCGAAATATGAAGCGTGTTCAGACGCTCTTTGCTTAGATGTGTCCATGGTTGACCAGTATTCTCCGAATAGTTTCTAAATGGGTGGGTGATTGGAACCCGAATAGATGTGTCGTCTTTGGCAGGGCTATAGGTCTGTCTTCCGTGTTGGGAAGAAAATAGGTTTGAAATAAGAATGGCGACCCAGAAAAAGATTGCAAGAGGTAAAATGAACCTTTTCGCAAACTTCTTCGCCATTGTATGAATATTTGGGTGAAATAGAACAATAATTGAAAGGTCAGTATTTCTTCTAACAAACCACTGGCAAATTCCAGTAATTCATTACAATGAAAAGTAGAGTAGAGGAGAGGAGATAGTACAACATAACGATTGTTGTTCTCGTCAAGATGGTAACACTTGAGTGCGCTTGTCAATTTTGGTACTGATCATCAAGGAATATGGAAGGAGCAAGTGTGAGAAAGGAAGTAACGACGTCCCCGAAAATCGCGCTTACCCGTCGGTGAAAGTTTGCTATATCTTGAGATTTATCGTCTTGATTGAGCTCAACATGAACACAATCTTTGCATTTTGATCATAACGAATTTCTTTGGAGCTTGCTTTGCTACATTTTGCTTTTTTGCACAATTTTGAACAACTTTTGCTCATAATGGTTTACATCTCTCCTTTCTCATCCCCGACCACAACTCCGACCGCAACAAGTGAAACGCCCCTTCACCAACAGACCAATAATACTTCACCATGGTCAGAGATTTCGATGGAGAATTGGCGCAATGGTGTTGATTTCAGAAGCCCACCACCAGCTTATGATGGAGAGGAGCCACTGGAACCACCTCCTAGGTTTTACAAAGCAAACTTGGAGAGCCTATACAAGGCTATATGGCTCACTGTATTAATAATGATCTGCTTCTGGTTCTGGTTGAGTCAACAGCAGCAGCAGACACACTTCTATCAATATGACACCAAGAGTTTTATAACACAACCAACATTGGATGGACTTCAGTTTATCGACGCAAGCCATCCTTACATACGTGTATGTCGGCATACTAGTCTGTAAACAATACCGTGCTGACACAATACAGTACGTGGGTCGCTGGTCTTCGACACTGGATGGAATGAGAAAAGATGGGTCGTTTCCAGGCATGCCCTCCTTTATTTCACCCGTGGTTAGCTAACTGGAAATTCTTAGGCATTTATCTCGATATTGCCTTTAACGGAAGTAGCACCATTATAATCTCACTGCATAACTCAGATCAGCAAGCTTACGATAAAAGAACAAATGCTCAGAATATTACGGCAACATTGGGATTCCCACCGTCATTGGACAACACGAGCGCGAAGCCTATCTCGCTGCTCGCCCAAATCGACGATGAGGAGTATGTCATACTTCCAAATGCAACATCATGTGTAGCCATACGAACGAAAGACCTCGATCCTCAATCTCAACATATCATCCGAATTATTGCGCCAATGATTGGCAGAGACACAGTAGAGACGTTTCAATTTCTGGGAGTCTGGATAGATGAGGTTGGACAACTAATTCCAGTCAAGAACCCAGACGCAGACACGAACCCACAATTATCCAAAAGAGATTTTGCGAGTGAGGAAGACTTCGAGTTACCCTTGAGCGACTTATCGCGACAAAGTATTTCACAGCGCAAGATGCTGGAAATTCTTACCGATCTACCTGGTTCTATGACAGGACGTGATAGACGAAAGCATCGGACGGCTTCCAACGTTGCAAATGGGATACTGGGAGGTGTGATGGGATGGGAATATTTGACTGGCGAGATGTTTGGCAGTGATCATGTCACCATTGGAATGGATGGTATGTGCTTGGTACAAGACTGTATCGGTGGTAGAGGCAGTCCCGCAGGGTTGGCAGACGTCTTCTTTCAAAGGTACCCTATCAACACTTATGGGTAAATATCTTCTAATACTTATAGCGGACCACTTGGTTCTGGACAATACGCGCAGCCATGGCTTTTCCAATCATATATTCCAGATGTAATGGTAGGTATCTTCCATCTCCAATATGAAGTAGCTGGAGCTAAATTGTGTAGATTCTCAACATCGGCAATGCTGACTGGGAGTCGTTTCGAATATATAACGAAGAATACAACCTGACGACATGGGAATTGAGTGTGCTTTTTGAGGAGACTTATGTTTCGTTGATCAAAGCAATTAGAACTTTGGCATATCCCAAATACTCCTCCACCATGGCCGAAGCCGCACAATACGACTATCCACAACATCGTGCAGTCGATATTCCGATATTCGTGATGAGACCATTTCGCGGACAGCTTGAACAAGCAACACACTCTGTTGTTGACCGGCTTCAATTTGAAGGGGACAAATCTGTATTTTGGCTTGATACTTCGGGTTGGCTCAATACGGACATTGATTTCGAAGGAAGACCAGAAGATCAAGATTTTTTCCTCGATAGTGAGGCTAAATTCCATAAATACCAAGACCAGTTGCTAATAGAGACTAGAAGAAAGTCCTCGGAAAGAATGGCGTCTCACAGAAAGGGGGAATCAGCGTGTTGCAATCCTGCTACATATGCACGTTTGCAGATATCTTGCACAAGAGGCCGACAAATGTGCTTTCCTAGCTCCAGATACATATCAAGGCACAACTGTTGATCCGGTCGCGATGCATTTTGATGAGTACATGAGGGATGAGAAAGAGCGGAGGTTGAAAAAATTATTCTGGGTGTCTCCAGAGGATGAAGGAAGGTCCTAAGTCAAATAAATGTCATGGTGAAGACGATATGAAAGATGAAGAGTCTTGGGAATTGTTATTGATACCTAATTCGTATCTTGTACCGGTAGTTAGTTTTGAAATGAACATGTTTACCATTGATTGAGAAGATGTACCATGCTGTGATTTTGTGGTGAGAACTAGAATATATGTATGTTCTAAAGACGAAGGTTAAATCTCAACCCGGCGCCGGTGTCAAATCGGCACATACATTACCCGTTCACTGTAATTATCGGTTTCAAAGTTTCGCTAAAGGTGCCGAGAAGTATATGCCTTATTTTCAAGGTAATATTGTTAGAATACGTACTACTATACCCTGTACCATGTGCTATACCCTAGCATTGTACCTTTGTTAGTACTGACACTAGTTTTAGCACATACACTAACTAGCTTATCAATACAACTGTAATATAGAGTATATACAATAATACTATATAGTTACACTTCTAACAAATTATAAGTTTTATATAAATATATATATAATATAACTTATTTATTATTGATTATTTCATCAAATTTTATTAAAAGAATCTTTTTAATAATAGTATCATCTATTCTCATTATTCAGTCAATTATAGTTTTAACAAAATAGAGTAATATTATTGTTTTTACAAATAATAACTGAAATAAATTCAAAAAATCTTATCTATTTGTATTTATAGTAACTAAGGTTATTAATATAGTTAAAAACCTTAAAGGATTGTCAGATTCTTTTAATAATACTTTCATTGAAGTATTACTTGGAGATTACAAAAAAAGAAGAGGTTATACAATTGCTATACTCAACACTAGAGTTAATATAATTTATTACTCTAACTTTATTAAATATATAAATAATCTCGATATTACTGATATATAAATAATTTTCAAAGAATATACTAATAATATTCATCTCTAGTTTATTACTAAAGTATACTATTAATTTCAACTTCAAGTTTTCAACTTTAAGATCCAAAATTTTCGAAATTTTATTAAACATTTTTATTATTATTAATACTAAATTTTTTCCAAATAAACAATTAATTAATAACAAAGAAATGTATTCTCAATTTATAAATAAAATCCTTAAAACTGAAGGATAGCAAATAGTTAAAATATTCATATTTAATACTAATCAAACTTTTAAACAAACCCTTTTAAACTCTTAATATTTATAAAAAATCTAGTCACTATATTGCTATATATACAAATACTAGGAAAAACAGATGAGATTATG